CCCATGACTGAGCTGCACAGGTCTGGTCGCACCCATAAGAGTCCCGACTACTTGCATGATTACATACAGTAGGCAGAACAGGATTGGGTGAACTGGACGAGGTGGGGAGGGGTGTTAGATATTTATATATATGCCCTGATTGGTTGGTCCGTGGCGGCAGGAAATTGAAGAGCTGTCACTGGTTGCAGCCGTGGCAGCCTGGGGGTACAAAAGGAGCTGCCGGGGCTGCTGTTCTTTGTTCTGAACGATGTAATAAAGAGTTTAAACAGTCGGAGGCTCCAGTGTCTTATCTCACCCATGATTTAACATAATCAGTGGAATAACTTGCCTCCAGAAGTTGTAAATGCTCCAGCACTGGATGTTTTTAAAAAGATGTTGGATAACCATTTGTCTGAAGTGATGTAGGGTTTCATGCCTAAGCAGGGGGTTGGACTAGACCTCCAAGGTCCCTTCCAACTCTGTTTTTCTGTTCTAAATATAGGCAGTCCTTGATTTAAGACTATAATTATGCCGTCATGATTGGCTGTTGAGTGCATAATCACATGACCCTGAACCATTTTATGACTTTTTTGCAGCATTCACTAAGCTGACACAGTAGTTCTAAGCAAACCCTATGGTCATTAAGGAAACCCATTATTCACTATGGGACTTTGGGTGGCGGGGGGGGGGGGTAGAAAACAGATTAAACAAAGATTTCCAGCAAAAAACATTATAAATAAAGGTCCCATGATCACCACAGGATAATGCAAATGGCCATGTGAACTGGTTACCAAGTGCCCAAAATGCAGTAACATAACTGCTTGGGTGCGGCCAGCAGAGCTTCAAATCCAGGTCATAAATATCTTGGAGTGGGAGATCTGTTGTAACGTCTAACTGTGGTAAGTTGAGGACTACCTGTAGTAAAATAAAAACATGGCTGATCTCAAGAGATCTCATCTTTCCTAGTAAGCAGAATCAACAAAGATAAAACAATTTGCTGCAGACTCTGATTTATCAGCTGCTGTACAGATTATGTAGTTCAGCAGATTTCCAGAGTCTAGTATTTCTGGATCATTGGATTTGCTTCCAAAATTATAGGCCATGGTTCCAGATTGTATTAGATTCTTTTAAGCTTGTTATGGATTCAAATATCTTCTCTGATTAGTCCAACAGTTTGAACCAATCTTATTTTAACATCAATTGTGTTTAGTGCCGCTAACTTCCTTTCTTTGCAAGTACCGCATGTGAAATTTCACATCTTCTGAACTCTTTGGGTTTCTTCCAAAATCATTCAAAGGGCATAGCACTTTTCTGTACCCTGTCCTCTTTATACAGCCTCTTCCTTGAAGAAGAACAGTTCAGCTGCCATTTTCCTAAACAGTTTATCCTTTTCCTTAAAATATATACACATCTATTCCCTATTCACAGAGTTGTTGGAGGAAACTCCTGAGAATACCAATACCAGGAAAACAAACTGGATGGATCATCAAACAAATCAACCCAGACTTCTTAGTGAACACAGGCTCAAATTATGGATCTTGTGCATAGTATGCAAAACTCCCTGGAGAAACCTTCAATTCTAAAAATGGTGGGAAGGAAAAAAACAAGAAAAGACTCAAGAGAAGGAGGGGGAGGTGGAAGGAAGGAGGGAGAGATGGAGAGATGGAGAGAGAGAGAGAGAGAGAGAGAGAGAG